GTGATTGTCAACATTCACCGATGGAAGTCAACAACCACCCATTTTTGTCATTTACAGTAACATTTATTTTACTTTATAATCCTTGTGAGTTAATAACTTAAATAGTCAGTGAGAATTAGACATCATTTTTTTCAAGGTACTGATCTTCAAAGAACCACCTTTGGTTTAAAAAAGAAGTGCCGGCAATTTCAACCCTTTCAAGGACGGTGGGATAAAAAACCGTCCCTCTGATTTTTTGAAGTAGTATTATAAACAAAAAGAATAATAAAATTGTAATAGTTTTTATCTCTTAAACAAGGTTGTTTTCAATGATCCACTTTTTATAAATGCAAAGATAAAGCACAGATCGCTTCATTGTGGATATGTATGTGGCGAGCACAATTCTCTTGGCATTTCTTGATTAAAAATTTTCTGCACACGAAAAGGTTGATATTTGCTTAAATAAGCAAATTACTTTTAATCTTACCTTTAAATAGTTTCTGTAAACTATCACTCTGGTTTTTAGAAAAACCTTGGTTTTCAGATTCAAATATGAAATTTTTTTTTGCTCTCGGAGGCTCCCCCTCCCCTACTCACTTCGCTGACCAGAGTTGCTTAATCAACATTTTTGTTTCTTGTCTAAAAACATAAAAATTATTCTGATAATCATAATTAATTATAAACTATTCTAATAATCATAATTAATTATAACTATTCTAATAGTCATAATTAATTATAACTATTCTAATAATTATAAGTTTTCATCATAACTATAAATTATTCTAACAATAATAACTTTTCAAGATAATTATAAATTACTATTGTTACATCAGAATTATAAATTATTCTAATAAGCATAACTATTCATCACAATTGTAAATCACAATGGGAAACAAATTTTTTATTGCATTTATACAAATACTTGATCTTGCCTGATTCGGGTGTGAGGATTTCAAATCTGAAATTAATTTTGTTCGGAAAGTCTAAAAATATCATTTCTTCAAAATGATATTTTTAGTCTAGTTTATTTCTTGTCTGTACTAGTTCGTATAGGTTTATATACACACGTTTACTTCTTTAAAAATAACATTTAAGACGGAAAAAAAAACATATGACTTTAATTTATTTATAAACTGTGCCTTTTTTCTACCATTCCACTGTGGGCCAGAAGACTATGATCTTTGGCCAAAAGTAAAAAATTTATTTTCAACTAAAATATGTGTAGGCAGTTTTAATATATCCCAAATTAAGTATTCATAATCATTCCAAACATTATAATTTACTTTTTGGACAGACGAGAGTACAATTTAATGAAGAATATGCTAAAAAAAAATTGTTTTAAATGTAACTTTTAAATTTTTATTTCGGAAATATATATAGGAATTTTATCTTACTGTTACATTTTTATCAGAGTAATTAGTGTTAAATTATAGTACAATTTTTCAATGTGTTGGATTAGTTAATACTCTTGACAAACTTATAGTTTATATCTCATCATTTGACATTTTACAATGTTTGTTTGACTTTCGAAACTTAGTTCCAAAAAGTTCCACGAGGTAATTAGCTAAACTTTTTTTTTGTTGTCTTCTTTGATGTTTCTTCTTTCAAATAAAACCTGCCCCATTTTGCCCGTATTGCAAAGGTGGACTAAATACACCAATAAACAAAAATTATGTTTTTTTTTCATGTTTTCGCGTTATTTTGAAATATTACTTCGGAAATATAATTTTCTTTTCATTTTAATATAAGATTACGAAAATTATTATATTTTCATTGCTATATTTAATTATTTAAACGTTAGGGCTAGAAAAACCTCAGAAATTGTACCCGTCCCCGAGGACGGCTTGTCCAACTATGTACCCGTCCTCCATTGAAACTAACCTGTAGCTTCTAAATAAATAAAAATATAATTTTCTCTTATTCGTTACAAACATTTATATAAATTGCACAATGAATTAGTAGTTACTAGGATTACAAATAATAGGATTATATTATACAGTAATAAAATAAATACTAGGTTACTAATAGTAACCTAGTATTTCTTTTATGAAATAATTTAAATGACAAAGTTCCAGACGGGAAAATGGCCGTCCGCGCTGACGTCGGATTCGAGAAATCCGTTGTCCGCGGAGAATTTTTGACCGCCGAGAACGGGCGGTTTTTCGAGCCCTGTACAAACCCATTTTCATATTAAATGGTATAACNCGCCATATTTCAGCCGCCATTTTATTTTTTGGGGTATTTTTAGTGTATTTCAACTATGAATTCAATTTACCTGCACATAAAACCCCTAAATACAAATTTTATCAAAATACTGATTTTGGCCACGAAACCTTGGATGCCTGTGCATTCCCTACGTAGCAGAGAAATGGGGACACTTCACATTCACTCGTGTGAATCCTGGTTATAAATATATTATTGAAGATGTGGAGCGAAACCGATTGCAGATTTGAAATCAGCTACGTGTGTTTGTTCGAAAATCGCATGAAACCAGAAAACAAAACAAAAATTGTGTCCCTGTGTTTTTATTGATGCATAGAAATTATAAATTATTTTACTAGATTCCAGATTTTTTTATTGTATTAACACAGAATTGGTTCGATACATTTAGTTTCCGATATTGAAGAGATAAAATTTAATTTTGCTCGCTTACTAAAGAAATTTCAGTCACTAACTTGTTTTTTGATGCTTTTATTTAATTTTTGGTTACATAAAAACCCGTTAAATATTTTTCGTCTAAGAGATTATTCAGTGATAATTCATAAAGTTTATTCTTAATATTAATTTAGAAGCTAAAATATTTATTTTCTATTCCTTATTTTAACTGTCCAACGTTATTGCTTAACATTTATTATGAAAAATAGACCCTTATTTACCGTTTATTATTATTTCTTCTCATTTTAAATTATAATCCAATTCTAAAACGTAATAATAGCAAAAAACAGTATTAAGAAACGATGCTAAATAAATATTATTGGTAAATACCATTAAATATAATTAAATTAGTTAGTATCGATTTCATTCATTAATACCATTCAGAATGCTTAATAACTTTTAATTAATTTTATGCTGATGACAAAATAGATGATCTTCTATGCTAATTAATGACATAATCATTTTTTCTTTTGAGAATGCACGAATAGGTAAGACGTAAATTATTTCTTTGTGATTGTGTATTTAAAAAAATGCCTTGGCTCTTTATGATAAAAAAAATATATAAAAAGAAGTAACTTATAGTATACTTTATTTATTTCACATAGAAACTACAATTATAAATGCGAAATATTACAGGCCTATAAATGTTTAACATAAAAAAGGAAACAAAAAAAAAACATTATTATTACTAAAATTGAGTTATATTTAAGTAATAGAAAAATTAGGAAAAAAAATAGTACAAGTTGACCGATTTTAAAATTTTATCAACTTCGCGGCTCTTAATTTCAGGATGTGACTACTGAAATCATTTTCTGTACAATAAGTGAAAAGAAAATATTGAAAAATGAAGTATTTAATTAATTTTGAATCCAGATAAAATGTAGTGAACATTAAAGCTACGATAGGAAATATACAATTTATTATCTTGTTGTTTTGCTGTCCTGAAATCAATACCTCGACTATTGTCCTGCCATCTAGCGTCAATGTCTAAAACTTATTTCTCTCAGAAGCTTCATTCATTTTAATTTCTTTTTTCGGGACCATTTATAAATGATATCAATATTTTTAATCCTCACAAAATGTTTACATGTCAAGCTATATAACGTAAACACATACAATTATATTTATATTACATAACAGTTTAGACGCGTTATAGATCAATTTATTTTTAAGCTTTAAGTATGTGCTTTGATGATCTTTGTTAGTATAACAACAATTAAAATTATGTTCGTACTTATTTTGGTGAAAAATAAGAAGAAAAAAATATGTAACCTAATTGTAAAAAATATTTAATCCACTGATTTTAAATGTTTCAATTATAACTAAAATGTGTGATGTCACACTCCTTGGTACCCCCTCTCTCCCACTCATTATATCCCCCCCCCCTCCTTTCCAAGCTTGACATCATTCATGGATGGTCGCTGGTGTATGAGACTCATTAAAAAACTGCACATTTTACCATTTTAATATGTTCATAGACAGGGCCAGATTAAGCACATGCGGGGACCTAGGCCATTCAAATTTTTGGGGCCCTTAGATTAAATTTTTTTTTTTATATTTTTTATTTCGTATATTTTTTATTTATTCAAATATAAATGTATTTATATATCTTTTCATTTAAGAAAGCAAATTTAAAATAAAAATAAATAATAATAAATTAAATTTTACTTTATTTTGTTAAATTATAAATAAAAAAAATATCGTATTTTATTAATATATATTTGTCTTAATTTTTAAAAAAAAATTTTGAAAAATATTTTTTAAGGGGGGCTCTAATCATTGGGGGTCCCAGGCCGTGGCCTACTAGCCCTGTTCATAGGTAAACCCTATCACGTCACAATCACGTATTTTTGAACCTAATTCAGTGCCGTTTAATGCGATAACAGCATTGGTACTTGAAGGTTTCGATTCCAATAAATAGCTAATTACCCAATATCACGTCACTTGATTGTATTGTCAGTAAAATGCGACTCCACTTGACTCAGATGAGGATGCTCGAATAAAAGAAACTGCTGCACGTGAAATACCTGGCATCTTTGAACGCGCTGTCCAGCATGTAGTGAACGCAATTTTGAACAGTTATCACAAACATTACATTTGTCAACGAAACTTTCTTTCAATAAACACTTTCATCTCTTATTTTTTGTATTACGAGTCACTTGCACATACATTCCTATACAATAAATGATTGTTACAGTACCTACCCTCAAAGTTTGTACCCTGTATCACTTAACTAAAGACAAAAAATGTTAACTTTTACGGCATAGCAATTTTAAAATGTAATATTACTTCTCCCATAGTATTATTATTAGTATAAAAAAAATGGATTAAATAATACAAATTTTGAATGAATGATTTTATTTTAGGATATCAGTGGCATAAAACTAGTACCAGACTCCAGGACAGGTGTATGTATAATTAATATAGACCAGTACGGAGAGTGTCTCTATGTTATAGGTGATATGGATATCCACGACCGCATAACAAGGGATCTAGTAAGTTGTCGTCATTTACAACTCACTGTCATTGACATCGTTATAGTGTCATTTTTAATTATTTTGCCATATGTCATCGTTTAAAAAATAGGTAAGGTGTTCCGTAAAACCCGCCCTTAACTTAGTTTATTAAACTGCTTTCCAGAAATGTGGTCAAACATTATTCATAATAAGGGTCGCAAGTTAATATTCAAGCGAGAAAAATTCCAAGAAATACTGTCGTAATCTTGAAGGAGAAAAAAATAATAAATTGAAGGGTGATTATTAGAAACGCCATCTAAGTTCATTGGGCAATCGAACTGGTTTAATTGTTTTCCATTCTGCCTTTATCATTAGTGATTTGATATTAATAACGCTTTTATCTCGCTCTAATATCATTTTGTGACCCTTAAATGTAAACAAGGATTAAAAAGAAAAGAAACATATGTAGAGAGCAGAGGCATTATGGAACAACCTATATATAGCTTAAGTATACTTATAAACATAAATATGTATACACTATTGGTTCCTGTAATTGAAGAAAAACATATGCATTGTGAAAACACTGAGATTGTTGAGTCTGAAAACATTTTAAAGTGGAGAACATTCTGGTCAAGTTGTTGATAAGTGTCTTTCAAACAGCATTTTAAAACTGAATTTCAATTCACTTAGAAGTTAACTAATATATTCTTCCATTCGAACCCTAAATCATAAAACAGAGTATAAAAGTAAAAAACGTCAATTGATGTGTTATTCTATTAGACTCCTAAATTTTAAAAATGTGACGTTTTCTAAATACAGTAATTATAATGGTCACTAATGAAAACTGTATTATGTATTCTTCATAGTTCGTAGATTGGGATAATAAGGAAAAGTAGAGCCAGTAAAAAAAATAATAACAACATAGTAGATAAACATGGACAATGCGTTAAAAATAAAACACGGACTACTTTGAATCTTCTTCTTGGGCACTACAGCCTATGACAGGCCAAGGCCGTCCCAATAAGTTTTTGCCATCTTGATCTATTCTGTGCCATGGCCGTCCAGTTAGTTATTCCTATTATATTTAGGTCCCTCTCAACTGCGTTCAGCCACCTAGTCGGTGGACGACCCCTTTTTCTTGTACCTTCAGGTTTTCAAAAAAGTTAACTTTTTTTGCGGGGTTTTGGTAATTAAAGGTGTCTCAACCATCGAATGCGATTGGCCTTAATAACATAAACTGGTTGTTTATACTTTTTATATAACTCATGATTGTAAAGGGTGAGCCAATTGTTATTCTCATAGACTGCGCCAAAAATTCTTCCAAGTATCCCTCTCTCAAAAATCAGCAATTTGTTCTCCTCTTTTTTATGAAGAGTCCTGCACAGGAGGAGTGTTTTTGTATATATGTTAATTTTTGTATTTTGTTTAAGAAATTTACTTGATGGTTCGAGGAGGTGATCTCAAATGTGCTAATCAAATCATAAGAATTTTTTAAAATTCGGTTTTTTCAGGAACTATTTAACCGATTTCGCTCAAATTTGTATTATGCCACATAAAATTACATACTTTTAAATGATGTAAAAAATTTGTGTATCTTACAATTCAAAATTTATATGTAAAATAACAAATATTTACTAAAATTTATTTTTTTGTTGTATGGAATTATCTTGGATAAACGAGTTTTATAATTATGTGCAAATATTTTTTAATTCGATTAAAAATTTCTCGAGATATGGCGAAATAAGCTGAGAGTAAAATGAACATTAAAAGGGGTTCAAACTTTAGATCGCTCTCCTGGCCAAACTACGAATACTGCCCCAATATTTTGAGGGCCAGAAAACCGAATTCGTCGAAAAAAAAATATGTTTATTCAGAAAAAATAAGTTTTGTATCTGATTTCGCAACTTAAAATATCGTCTGCATTAATTAATTAGCATCTTTAAGGGTCACCCCTTGATCCATTAAGATCGAGTACTAGAACGAAGATCTGATCATTAGAGCAAAAGTTATTCAGGGTGGTCCTTTTTTTTTCTTCCTTCTTCTTTTAAGAGCACTATACATTTATTTATTTAGTAAACCGATAATAGATCGTAGAAGAATTTACAAGTCAATAAATATAAAAAGCATATTTAACGCATAAGTACAAAAGGCAAAATTATACTTTTTTTTTAATGCATAAGTCAAGAGATAACATAGTATCATAATTAAAAGTAATCTTAGAGTTCCTGTTAATTGACCAAATAAAAATGTTCAATTAGCATTGTATAAAATATAGAAAGGTATTTTATTTTCATAAAAAAGAGCATCATAAAGAAATACTGTTTCGAATATATATCTCTTTGCTGATATTGCATTCAATGAAAAAAAAAATAATAATAATACACGAATTTTGAAAAATCGTTTCTTATCATTATTTTAAAATGTTTACGAATTGTTCTAATTGTAATTTTGTTTTCAAAGTTCTTAATAAAGCAGCAATAATTTAAACTACAGGTTGAGGAACACAAAGAAGTAATCAGTAAAGCACCTTTACTTATTATGGATGGGAACATTCCACTAGAAACAATGGACTACTTACTGAAGATGTGTGGGGAAAACAATGTGCCAAGTAAGTCTTGTTGCTTCCATTCAAACTTTATTTAATAAATTTCATGTAACGATACCGAACACTACTTTTATAAGTTATGAGCCAGTTAAATAGTGGTTTTTAATTCATAAAAGCTATTTAAAAATAACGTTCAAAAAAAATTATCATATAATAGCATTTTTTAAATTTTTTTATTTATTTATTTCCTTTAAACATTTTGTTTTAAACTAAACATTTATAGATTAAGTTTTGAAAAAACACTCAACAAACAACATTTTTGAATGTTTAAAATAAGAAAGTCAGCAACAATACACAATTTAGAATAGAAATGGTACAGTTCCCAGTAAGACACTGAAGTCAGTGAGCAGAGGGGTGACCACTCTGAGAACCGTGAGAGTGATGCACCGGTATTCTGTTCTACCATAACGTGCTCTACTTTCACATGCAGTTTGTTAAACTACCAAAGGGGTGAAGACGTATCTTCAGCAGAGGATGTCATCGGATCATCTTCAGAAATGTTTCTCAGACCGTCTGCAACAGCCCATTGCGCAGCTCCAGTGTGACATTAAACTACTACTACTTAAAAAAAAGTTCCTATCTAATATTAGTACTTTAATTCTTACATTTTGTCTCTCGAGTAAATAATGAAGATTATGCAATAATAAGTTTCTTTAAATGAAGGGTTATATTCATTGTGTTTCATTGAGTACATTATACGTTTTCATCAGTACATTATATGTTTTTCAAGATGTTGGGTCATGTAAAAGTTTATGTATTGTATACACTTAGCCCTGATTTATAAATAGTAAATAACAGCAGGGTTATATTCATTTGAGTACTTTATACTTTTTCATTGTGTTTCATTGAGTTCATTATATGTTTTCATCAGTACATTATACGTTTTTCAAGATGTTGGGTCATGTAAAAGTTTATGCATTGTATACACTTAGCCCTGATTTATAAATAGTAAATAGCAACAGGGTTATATTCATTTGAGTACAGTTATATTCATTTGAGTACATTATACTTTTTCATTGTGTTTCATTGAGTACATTATAAGTTTTCATCAGTATACGTTTCTATATGTTTTTCAAGATGTTGGGTCAAATAAAAGTTTATTTATTGTATACATAAACTGATTTATAATAGTAAATAGCTACATCTACATCTAATAAAAATAATGAATCTGTATATGTGTCTTTACAAGTCAATTTACAAGCAACAAATGAATACTGAATTTTTGACACTCTTATATGTTTCCTTTCTGCTGTTGCAAAAGGTGGGGTTTGTAAATTTGATTCTGGCAAATCACAAAACAACTGGCATACGCAGCAAGGTGCACTTTAAATCTGATGTGACTGAAAGTCATTTCCTCGGCTGTGATACAGAAATTTGGAGAGAGGGGTACCAGCATTGTCTGATGGGGGTCAAAATTACAGGGCATTTTGGCCATGGCTGTTAAAAGTCTTAGAAAATAGGTGCTTGGCAATGGTGGGATGCATGTAGTCTGTTCCATTATTAAACAGAGAAATAAAATGAAGGAACAAAGCCAGCTCACAACTCAAAACAATTATATTTTTTATAATTAACATTATTTTCTAAAACTTGTTACGACTTTTTTTTTAAAACTTTTATCTTTAAACTAAGTTTAATTAAACAGATTTGTAAGACTATTCAAAACACTTTGAATATCAAAGAACAGGTTAGCCTAAAACAGATTTCATTTCTTAAATAATAATTTTGCTAAAAAAACATTTATAAATAAGCCTTTAATCACATCAAGTACAAATAAATGGACAATTCGATAAACATGTTATAACAATTTTCTTGGAACTATAAAAATATTTATTCATAATCTCAAACGTTCTTACAAGATAGACTACTTGAACCAAACCAAAATGTTATATACAAACACATATTTAACAAACTAGCATAGCTGCCAAAATGAAAAGGTAAAAAATCCAATAGATTTTACTAAATAATATAAATTGCCAGCAAACTCTTGCATAATATCTAAAATATTTAAAGACACAAGGAATTCAACCGACAATAAAATTGGGAAAAATATTTTAACATTAATAAACGTCGCAAATATTTTCGAATTATAACTGACATTAAATAAATCTGAACATACAATGTTTTTTATTATGTTTATATTTTTTAACTCATTTTAAATAACAATGTTCATTTCATTTTAGATATTTAATTAAGATTAAGTTTTTTAACAAACTATGAATAAAATAATAAATATTTGTTAATTAATTCCAAGTAAGTATTAATGTAAAACTTAATATAGTTTTAAAAAGAATATCAATTTATCGTTAATTATTTTTTATTCATTAACTGCTACCAATTTTTTTTATTAATTACTTGGCTTTTTTAACAATTTTAAAATAAAGATTTCTGAAAACGTCGGAATATTAAAAAAAGAAAAAAATTTATTATCATAAATGGATGATTTTATTATTTAACAGTAATACTTATTAAAATACTCAAGCAAGCAATAAACTGAGTAAAATCTATTCCTGAGCGATTTTTTCCCAGAAACTTTTGAAATTTTTTAATGTATACAAAAATCATAAGAATTTTTTTTATTAAAAGCTAGGATAAAATCTAGTAAAATAGACAGCTATGAACTAGTGTTTAACAAACAGTCAAAATAAAAATGAAAATCAACCAAATGAATAAATGCAATAGTTCTTTCAAAAATAGCTTAAAATACATTATGATAATTTTTAAAAAAAATTTTAAAACACAAAAATATTTTTTTATTTTGATATTATTCTATTACTTTTAGTTTTGACTTTTCATTTTGTGGTTAATCTTTTATTTTTACTCATAACTATTATTCTTCTTAATTTAATATAAAAAATAATTCTGATACATTTAAAAAAATAACAAATCATGTTTTTTCAAAGATTCATTGCATATAATATTTACATAACATGTTAACTCTATAAGAATATAAGCCAGACATCAGCCATCTGATTACTTTGTGAGTGTTTTGTGTATCTTTTTAATTATAATTTTCTATTAGCATAGTTGAATAAACTATTTTGATTGTGTTGCAATAGTATCGCTTCAGCAAATCATAGTTTATTAATTTTTAAGATATTATAAAAATTTATCAGTTATTAAAAGGTTTCGATAAAAAAAATTTAAAATTTTTGTCTAAAAGTTTCTGCATTTTATAAACCAATTTCCTCTTTTCGTTAGACAAAACCAAAAAAAAAGCATTTAATCAAAAAGAAAATCAGTGCATAAATAAAAAAAGAAAAATATTTTTAACAAGAAATAGGTTTTAAATTTAAGCTATTCAATATCTTGATAAATTTTGTTTTAAATTGTAAATTTATGATTATAAAATAACAAGTTACTTGACAACACAATTTTGAAAATGATTTCATGCATGGTAAATACTACTGCCCAGAAGAAAAAAAAGGAAAAAGAAAGAAAGAAAAGAAACTTCACATGTTTTACTTTTAAAAACATAAAAATGTTTGCAAAGTTTTCTTTATTTTATTACTTATTTAATAAAAAAAAAACTTATATTAAAAATATATTGTGGCTACTATTAACTTTTTATTATAATGAAAAAATTTTTTATTTTTGAAGATAATATTTTGTTTTTGTTTTCTGAAAAATTTAGTTTTTTTAGTTTTCTGAAAAATTTAGTTACTAAGCCTTTGTATGCATTTAATAACATAAAAAATTATAGTATTTCAAATATATCTGGAAAAATTCAATTAAAAACTGGAAAATCTAGATCTTAATCCAAACAATGAAAATAAAAACAATCACAAATTTTTGATAGAAAGCCATTTTAAAAATTTAATAATTTTCTTCAAGTGGGTATACATAGAAAAACTAAAGATGATTCTTACATGTGGTGCCCAATATTCAAAAGATAACTTAAAGTAGCCAGTTTGTTCTGGTTATAACCATTACTTAAAATTCTAAACACTTAACCCAGAAAGAAATAATAGGCCCTAAATTAACCTAATGTTGTAAATTATAATTGAAAATATCTCATGCCGAAAAAATAGTTTGACAATAAAATTAAAAAGATTATTATATATTATAGCCTATAAGAAGGTATACAAAAATCGTGGCAGATAATTATTAAAAAGATCAACAAATTAATCTATTTGACGATTTATTAAGACCGAAATGAATAATATGCAATTTAATTTTGCCTTGACTTCACAGCTTTACATATTAAATTGCTTTCAAAGACATATTTTATGCTGTTTTGAAACAAATGAAAGCTTAATCAGACTAATGCCACCATATAATAAGTGGAATGGCACTTGCATGTTAGATGCCACATATAATATGGTGATGAAAATTATTTCGTTATTTTTGTCACTCTTATTATTGTCTTATTTACAGTTAATTTAATTATAATTAATTATGATAATTACATCTGTAGGGAAGTAAACTTGAAACACTTCCGGACCATTAAGGGTTAATGTAAGTAAAACATATCATTGTATATCATACAGAACCCTAACCTAAAGTAAATAGAAAAGTATCGAACACTAAAGCAAAATTAATTTATAATTTAAAAATAAATCTAACATGTTTACTAATAAATCACATGCATGTATGTTCATCTTTTTTTTACCGCCATAATACATAAACCCTGGCAAAATTTATTACTATATGACTATAAAATCAAGCCAATATTTACAGTCTCTTTATAAAGGCTAGATTAGGCTTCACCGGTTACTAATAGCACTCATATAGTGCTATATTCAACTAATTGGAAGGAACCTCGTGGTAAATTGGGTATATCTCATTTAAATTTCATGAATTACATACTATGATGAAAATGTTATAAAAAATATATCAGCAGCCACTGATTAGTTGAGAAGATTTCAAATTCTGTAAGAAACAGGTATGTGATACAGTATGTTGTTCCTGTAGAGATTTCTCCTCATTCTGAACACATGAACCAGAAGACATCCAGCCGCAGTGCACAGCAGTATGGCAGATAATACGACAAAACCATAGCCCCACGAGAGTGAGTTGGACTTGGGAAACTGAATCCACGACCGCTCAAAACTCATAGCTCCAAACACGCAAGCTCCGAGGAATGCAAGAAGAGCTAAAAGATTAAAAGAAAGTCTCCAATCATCAAAACAGGAGATTTTATGCTCATCCAATGTGTCACCTAATTTAACACTTTATAGGGGCACTTTTCCCAACCAATGTTAATATATTTTTGGGGTTAAGATTGATCTATAAAAAGAAATTCGTTTAGCTGATTAAGTAATATTTATTAATTTGATTTTTAAGACAAATTTTTTTTTTTTTTTGGTGGGAAGGTACATGGAGATTTTTGAAATTTTACTCACCTTAAAGAATTGGCCATAAACTATACTTACAACCAAATTTAATAAAATTCTGTGTTTAATAAAATTATCCCCACATGGGTAACCTTCAGACGAGATGTGAACACGCCTACTTCAATGGATAGTCTACATTGAATAGTTGACTTGCTATTTGTGACTGTGTCATCGTACTACTCGCGCTTTTACTTCTCAGTCTCATTTATGCACAACAGGATTCTGCACACACTTGACTGCTAATAGGATAAACCACACAGAGAACCGTGAACTTAATACAGCTCTCACCACAAGCACTCGAAATTCTATCCCTGATAAAATTCTGGTGGGGAAGTATTGTGGGGTAACTACCACTACAATTTTTAAATATCAATACACTAGTATATAAGACATGCTAACTCGATTCTATCTCGGGGTACCTATCGATAGACGAAGGTCGACAGAGTCGATAACTACTATCCCCACAAAATCAAAAAACTAAATGAGAAATAATCAAATCAATTAACACATGACACACAAGAAGAAAAAAAACTCCCTGCACTAACATTTACTGATACCCATATTTATAGGAAAAAAACACTGTTTTTTTTTGTATTTTTTGAAGTCATTAACAGAAGGCAGCACAAATCATAGGTCAGAAAATAACTTACCATCAACATTTAAAAATGAATGAAATTGGTGAGTATACTTCCCACGGCTTTATGAAGGGTTAAAATACTAGGGGAACTGAAAAGTAATGTCGTTTCGGCACATTAAATATCCGTTAGTCTTAAAAACCAATTCATTTTCGATCCTTCATTGAAAGGTTGTTGCTAACGAGGGTGAATAACGAGGATTAAAAATAAAATCTTGATAACAAACATCAAATGCCACAAATCTCATTATATTATTGCCCAGCTATGTTTAGAGAACAAAACAATTTTAAGAAGAAAAAAAATTTGAGAGCCTTATTCATCAAAACAGCAGACTTATTATGCATTTTAACACAATTTAAAACTAATTTGAAAGCATTCATAATATTGATTATTACAATACAATTAATGTTGCAATTAACATTATGATTAATGTTATTTATGTTTTGTGAATGGAATGAAAATAATGCAAAACGTATTAATATAAATTTAAAGAAATACAAGGATGCCTAAATTGAGAAAACGAATATATATATGTATACAGTGAAACCTCGATTAAGCAGACATTCCAGGGACTGAAAAAATGTCCCTTTATGAGAGTTGTCCGTTCACAGGAAGGGTATCCTAATAACGAAGTTTAACACCATAAATTGGTTTTAGAATATTTTTAAAGATATAGAAATAATTAAATAATCTACAATAACTATCTACAAGGATAATTATTTAAACTTTAAAAAATATTTTTTCAATAAAAAAAATATATAAAAAAGTTTGATATAAATACATAATACTAGATGTAGCTACAGATAAATTAATATCACTTTCCTATTAACACAGATATTCAAGTTAGGCATATGATACCGAATAAGAGCTTTTAGTCCTCAGTCAGTTACAATTATTAGGTTTACATCTCCTAAGACCTACCTATCACTTGATAAAAAACGTGGCTAATACCTCCTTTAAATTAAACCTCCCACGATTCACAGAAGAAAAAAAAGCAATGCATACCTGTAAATCATGAGGACTTATGGAGTTCATTATTCACAATTGATCACCTATCAAGTGTCTGAATAAATGTTTCATTTATATGAACACCTCAAAGATTATACTTCTGTTCTCTTTTTTTTTTTACCCCAGGAGTGTTAAATAAAGTCTTCAAATTTATAAAAAAAATTTAAGAAATTTTCATGGGGGATGAAGTATTGAGAGCATTTATGACCTTATTTCAATGTGAGGGGTCTCATAACCTGTGTCCTTCAGATAAAAGATCAAAAGATGCCACTGTCCGAATTATTTCACAAGAGCAGTATCATTTTCTTTCCTTTCTTTGCAAAGATAAGGAAAGGTGAAAGGAGAAAGAGTGATTCTTTAGTAGTGAAATAACAATATTTTTAGTTATGGATAAGGCAAAAAATTGTACATCCTTTAAAATGGTGAAAAGGTGCATTTTTTCCATCTTGCAATTTCAAGCAGAAATAGCTTCTTTTTTTTTGAGAAAAAAATTTAGAAAAAGTAGTGTCTGGTTTGAAGAGATAGAAAATTACATTTCAGGGCAAAATTGACTGTCCGCATCCGCTTAAGGGAGTGTCCATTTTGCAGAGAATGTACATAATGGTTTATTCATAGAAGATTTCTGGGGAATTAAAAATATGTCCGTATTGAGAGGCGCCGGTTTTGAAGGAGTGTCGATGACAGGAGGTTTCACTGTATATATATAACGAATATACAGGTATATGTACAACTGATCACTTCAGAGATAAAACAGATTTTTTTTTACTGTGCATAATTAAGAATTGTATCTAGGTGTACATAGATTATCAATTATGCCATGAATTATATAACATAATTACGCATATATTAATTGGTAATGCAATTTGTATAGCAATTATTATCTAAACAATTTCTCTCTCTTTTCTTTTGGTTAAACAAGGTGAAAAATAAACTTTGCGAAAATCTCTGGTAATTTTATGGCAACTTTTTATGTTACTTTCAACTTCAACAAAAAAGAATTGAACTTAAAAAATTAAAATTTAGTGGAATAAATATTTTTTTTTCTATTTCTCTTAGAAACAAAAAATTTATAGGCATTCTAAAAACCAAAAAGTAAAAAAAAATTGCAAAATGAGAACTGAAAATAGCTATAACTATTGAAGAAATTAAAATTTTGAAAGAAAAATAACTCAAGAGTTTCACTCAGAAATGAAAATAGCCATTTTAAATCTGTAGTTAAATTTTTCTCTTAAGTACACTGCAGTAGCATTTTTCTCTTTTGTTACATGGACTTTTTTTATAACAAGTTTATCAGTTAATAAATCTCTAACTAACAATTGAATAACAAAATTTTTTATTCCAACAGAAAGTATGATTTGTATTCTTTTTAGTACACATGCATATTTAAAATTTTATAGTTAGGTGCAGCAAAATAAAATGCGACACAAAGTTGAATTTTTAATATAGAGAAAAAAAAATTCTAGAGATAAACGAAATAAAGGTCAAAAAAATTTTTTTACATCAACATATTTTTGATATTGACATATATTGTAACATTATGCATTTAAAACATTTGCTTTCCATACCTTTTCTTAATAATTTTTATCAGTAAATAATATATAATAGTCACTCAGTATGATTTGTACAGTTGCCTTAAAAAAGATTTAAAAATGTATTTCATCTAGTTCAAAAAAAAAAAAAAAATATCTTAAAAATAAAGGGAAAGGTACAAAAAGTACATTTCCCTTATCAACACATGTTGACTGCTAATAAATGCACAGATGGATTTCAACAGAAGTGCTTTGACACTTTATAAAAGTGGGATTCATTTAATTAACATATTTTAAGTTTAAAATGTTAGGATATGTAATATTGACATTTTTTACTACCCTGTCTCTTTTTGGCTAATCTGTTAGGAAAAAACCGTCCGCAAATGCGCTAAAAGTGCAAGAATGCAATGGGCAAGTCAGGGTTCATTCTAGGCTAAAAAAAAGGGCAGGGTGCTAAAAATTGAAAAGGGCACTATACTTTTAAAAAAAAGGGCAGCAAGTTTAAAAAAGGACATTGTATTTTATAAAAAGGGCAAATATCTTACCCTTCTTTGCATAGTTAAAATGAATAATTATATATAAGTTTACTTTTATCACTAATCACAATTATAATTATCAAATGTATAACTACAATTTTCCAAGGAAAAAAGGCTACAGTTTGAATTGAAAAATTTAAAAAAAAATTCAAACGNATCTTTTTGGAGGGGACACAACAGGGCGCATTTAATTATATCAGGGCAGGATAAAAGGAGTAAAGGGCAATAGGGCGGATATTTTATATCAAAAGGGCATACGGGGCGGGCCGCCCCGTAAACCCCGCTTAGAATGAACCCTGGGCAAGTTAAAAACCTACTATCCTTAGTATGACAAGAATGGGGTTGTCGATAAATGATGCCATGCTTGGTGGGGAGGCATAACAAGAAGTGTGACATTTGATTGCACATTTTGATTGAAAAAAATATATTATTTTCATTTTATATTATTGCTTTTCATTATTTGTTTTATATCTTCTTTATAAAAAAAAGTACACATCTAATCATTATTACCATTTATGCTCACATGTGTCATTAAAAACCTTAAAGTTTAAAAAAAAGTTTATTTTTAACTCTTGTTTTAAGAAAGTTTAAACTTAAAATATCATTTGCACTAATGAATTAGCATTTAAGGTCAGCCCCTGGAACCATTAAGTTTTAGCCCTAGTAAATGAAAAACATACATGGATCAAAAGTTATTCAGAATGTTAAATTTTTTTTTTTAAATAATTAAAAAAAAAATCTACGTATAAATAAATCTTGGCTACTGTAATTTTTATTAGTGCTTTGCTTTACGGTTTAATAAACTTAAATTTTTAAACATTTGATAATACATAATTCTTAAGGTTGGCATTTTGTCCAGAAGAAAGCTATTTCTCCTTGGATACTAAAAAAAATTGTAAAATAAATAGCTTAAATTTAAACAAGTTAAATTTAATTAGGAAGCTTTAAGTTTAAAGATCTACTTTAAAAAAAAAATAATTATCATTTTCATATTATTTATTTGAGTATTTGTGTTTAACTGTCTTTGATAATAAAAATTAGTATGCTGTTTGTAATTGTGAATATGTTTAATGTGTCAATTTAATAGTATATATTAAAAAAAATTATAATGATATTCTAAAGCTCCTTATATAATTATAAAATTAAACTTTACTATACTCAGTTACATTAAATATTGAAAAATTAATTAGTTAAATATATAACAATATTAAATTACAGTAATATTATTTCAATTTTCAAAGAAATTCATTACATTTATTTTTCGTTTCCATTGTTGCTTTTTAGCTATTTAAAAAGTATAGAATATATAGTCTGGGAATTAATACTACAACTTAAACTAGACTGTAATAATAAATTGTTTAAAAACATATTGAATACTTGATATTCATTTTTTAAAAAGCAGTTTCTACCACCTGCGTTAGAAGAAACTGTTTCTTCCGGGTCCATTTTTTCCACTGTGGAAGAAACTTCCTATTCCTGATAGTTACTAAATATATTAATAAATATCCGCAGAAACTATTTACTATGTCAAGAAACATTTTAGACAAGAAAAAACAGAAATCTGTATAAAAATATGCAAAGAGCATAGAATGTTTTTTAATCAAACAAGACATAGAATAAATTGAATCCATACCACTGATGAATACTTTACTGTGGAAACATAAACAAGGAATTTAAATACTATCAAGAATGAAATATTAATAGTAAATCATGCTTTTTAAAAGTAGATATATCTCACCAGAAAGAGCTTCCAAAACAAACACAAATGCTGACACAAATATTTTGATCTCCCTTTCAACTTGCAATGTCATATATGCCAGCAAACATATGCTTAGAGCTGACAACAAAGTAGCACATGTTGTCAAACACTGAACTAAAACAAACCATCCTAAAAAGCACAATAAACTTGTCAGGATCAGCAAATATATAACAGAAAAATTTTCATTACAAAGAACTATTTATCAAATTATTCAAACATAAATTTAAAACAATTAATAGTAAAATGCTTAACACTAAAATAGATAAACACTAATTTTTAATAGTAAAATATGTAAAAGGTTAGTAAAAATAAGTAAATGGATTGAAATAAATAATTAATTTAAATAAATTGAACTAATATTTGAAATATTGAAATAAATAATAGAAAAAGGTTAACTAATTAAATTGTTTTGTTTCTTAATAAATACATGTTTCACATTTAAATGTCAGTTTTTTGTTCGGTCATACCTTGATGCATTCTTTTTTAATAACACAATTTCAGTTACATAGTTCGTACTACATGATATAAATCTTAACGCTTCATTTTATAAAAACTCTTATTGATAAAGAGTTTTGCTAATCACCATTCTATTCCTATAAAAAATAAATAAACCTAATCCTAATTTTATAAAAACTGTCTTATTTTATCTAAAAAATATTTTTAATATAGCTAAGGACAAAAATAAAGTATAATAATCAACAAAAAATTTAAGTTTGGTTTCAAAAACACAGGAAAGAACATTGAGGTATTTTATGTGTTACAAAATCATACTGCATTTTTTTCTAAGCCTTGCCAAATTTGAAAAAAAAATTATTTAAAATTCAATTATTTAAAACATGAAGTAGCAAAGATAATTTGTTATAAACAAAACTTTTTACAAATATTTGTTACAATATTTGTTATCAATACAAAGTTTGAAAACAAATTTAATTACATTCTTGTTCGGCATTTATAATTTTTTGAAATGATACATTTATTTAGCAGCATTTATATTTCTAAAATAAGATTTGTATGTGTTTGTTAGTGAAATATATACTAACTTTAGAACTATACCCACTTTACCCCACTATGGGGTAAAGTAGGTAAATCAAAACATTTACTACTTTAATTTTAGAAAACAATCATACAAAATAGATAAGTTACGCTTCATATTTAATCAATATGAATCCAATGTATATAAAATGCATCAAAATTTTCAGTAAAATAAATTTAATGGTTTGGTTTTACAGCCTTCATTAAAAAAAACTTGCTTTTTTTACCCACTTTACCCCACTTTTCTAGTGGGAATTGACTTCATTTTCATTTTAATGAAATTATCTATTAAAAATAACATTATACAAAACCATACATAACAATTTACTAATAAAAAGAAAACCATCTTTTAAACCTGGTTGTAATAAATTCCGAATAGTTTCAGACCGATGACCATGGAATGAATAACAGCCATCAAATATACTATCAAACTTCAAAGATGGATGACGATACTCTTTAAAGCAAACATTCCACAAACCCAATCGAACGAAATTAGAACCAGAATCAGGATTCGATACAAGCCAGTATGGACTTGATAATGCAATTATTAGTGTTAAACAACCTAAAATTGCAAATGCAAAAGCTCCAACACTGTAGGGTGATTTGCAATTAAATAATTTAAATCTCATTATTTTTTTAGTTAAGTAGCCATAAATTTATTTCTTGTAGCATAAAAACGATGAGATACGATGTTAAAATTGCTGAATTAGCATCCTGGATTACCTAACAGTCTTTTGTTTATCTTATTTTGACATTTAATGATACAAAATACGCATAAATCAAGTCAATGTTCAATGCGTTTCCCCAGTAGCTGTTTGTAAACTATTTACAACATACAGTGAACAGTGACTACTTTTTTAAACTTTAAAAACGTAATAAACTGATAGAACTGTGAGTACATTAAACAAAAAACGTACAAAGTAAGAGTATTGTTATCAACCAATACTTTGCTTTTAGCTTTTGTAGTTTTAGTATATCACTGTTTGCTTGATGCATAATGACGTCAAAATCTCGATCGTTACGCTCGGATAAGCCGGGAGAAGACCGGTTCCATGACTTGATTCTTCTTTTTCCTTTTCTTCTCAGCTGTATTTATGATATTTTCCCCCTTTCTTAATATTTTTCGAATTTAATTGTCACAAATATTTTTTAAAATTTTTACGACGATTTCTTTTATGCTGAATGTTGTTTTCTGATCCATATAGTTTACGGACTTAAAAGGTTTTTATCTATTTGAAAATCAAGACAGAAACTAGCGTATTTCCTTCTGCTATGACTCTCCACACACTAATGGGGAAAGATAGAGAGTTCTGCTGTACACCACCTGTATCGATAACCAATACTTTACTTTCCCACATTTAAAAGCATGTTATAAAATAAATGAAAATTACGAATAAAATTTTTCATTTGAAAGTCAGTAAATTGGACTTAAGAATTCGAATACAATTAATTTTAAGCAATTTGAATCATTGCCATTTGGATAATTTTTCAAAATAATTAATTTTTATGCGCTTTTAGACTTGGAGAGAACCATGCCTTTATGCTCACATGAATATGTTACAGATAAAAATTAATTCAACAATATCCATGTTTCGGGCCTGCCATCAGCCATGCTATGTATAAAATTTTCTATTCATCTGACCAGTAAGGGTTATTAGAGATGCAACGGATATCCGGTAGGCAGGATCTATCCGGCAGTAACATTTGGCTCGAAATAAAATATTGAGTGGAAATGTAAAAATGAAATATATATATATAATTCATCAGAATGATGGTAGAAAATGTAATTTCAACATAAAAATCAATATTCTTTTCAAATATAATTTTTTTTATACTTATAGTGTTTATAAAATAAAGAAATTATACTTAAAATATGTATTAGGTTTACCTACAACATATTTGTATTAGGTGCTATGTATTAGGTGCTACCTACAACAGCTATGTTATACTAACCATTAATATAAATATTCTTAAAGTATGTTAGTATTTTGAAAGTTAAGTAATATAACATAGTATGTAGTATATAAATATATGGTATACAATTACAACAGAATATATTTACTATACGGATATACATATTTATTATATATATAAATATATAATAGCCAACCTCCCAAAAACAAATAAATATTAACTAATAAATAACTAATTTCATTAAAAAAAAATTTCTAGTTTCACTTGATTTAAAAAATTGAGAAAAGATCTGAATGGTTGGCAGTTATATTAAAGACAAATATTAGAATAAAGTAATAATCGATCTGAGGAATTGTTTTATAAATACCAACAAAATACGAGATCATATGTGATATTATTTATTCAATTTATAATTATTTTTTACATTTTTATTAATACAAACATTGCATGCAACTGCTTTTTAAAATTAATTTATATTGGTCTAGCATTAAAATAATAATATTAATCCATGTAATTATGATTGTACTTATTAATTAATACGGTTAATACTGTGATGACAATATATACATTGATTTGAAATAAAAAAGTTAATAAAAAAAGTTTTTTAAGCCAATTTATCATTTTTCAAAATCGATAAATTGAGATGCAAAAAAAGCAATTGTTCAGCATTTTTTGGCAAAATTCTGTTTCTTCTTTGCTCATAAATAATGCCTGCTTCAGAGAACAGCCTCTCACTATAAACACTGCTTGCAGGAGGAGATAGATATTTATAGACTAATTTTGATAATATGGGAAAATTATTTTGATTTTTTTCCCACCAGTTGAGTGGTGATTCTTTCCTTTCAATAACTGGTAATGAAATATATTTATTCAACTCCTGCACTGACGTTAACTCATTTTTGTCAGTATCAGTAATTTTATTATTTATATTACTGTTGTTAGTTATTTCTGAGAAAACATCCCAAACAGAAATAAATACACATTCTTCACCTTCAGTTGACTTGTGAGAATTTTCAGAACTTGAATATTTTGCGATTGACTTACTATTGTTCACATTTTCTGACGATTTAAAAAATTCAGATGCTTTCTCCTTCATTAATGAAAGTAATAAAGATTTCACAACTTCATCATAACTCCGATCTTTATCAAAAAACAGTGTTTTATATTGTGGGTCCAAAATCGTTGCCAGTGAATAATGTTTGTTCAACTGTATTGTCGAAAAACGTTTATGTATATTTTTTTCTAATGCTTCTTTCATTGTTCCAATTCCAGAAACTTCAGCAGATTTTAACAAATATCGTTGTAAAGTTACAACCATAGGAATAACTTCAGAAATTAATGATTTTGAACTACTTATCTGTTTAGTTATTTCTTCAAATGGTTGAAGCAATTTTATACAATTTTCAATTAAAGTCCACTGATATGATGAAAAGTTCTGAATTTCATTGTTTCCATTCGCATAGATGGATATAGCATTTTGTAATTCTTGTAAGCGGTTCAACATGTAAAATGTACTGTTCCATCTTGTTGAAACATCCTGCACTAATTTTTTGTATTGTATATGTAACTGTTTTTCTTGTATTTCTTTAAATTTTGAACAAGCTAAAGAAGAATGATTGAAATGGCCAACAATTCTTCTTCCTAGAGCAATGATATCCTTTAATGCTCTTTGGGAATTTAATGCATCGCTTACAATTAAATGCAAATTATGTAAAAAACAAGATTCACTTTCTAAATTGAGATCATTTACGGCTTTTACAATATTTGAACCACCATCACGAATGGTCAGATATATTTAACTTGTCACATTCCATTCCTCGCTCAAGCTACTTAACATCTCGCCTGCATTTTCTCCAGTATGACTTCCGGGAAAGTGTCTTGAGTTTAATACAAAATGTTTGTAATTAAAATCATCTATCCAGTGAGAAGTAAAGTTTCTTTTGCTGATATGATTATAATCATACAAGCAAAAGAAAAATAATAGTTTTGTCTAGTCCAATTAAATATAAATACTTATTTTAAAAAAAGTACTGCGGCCAGATACCGAATATCCGGCTCAAAGATTGGCCGGATATCCGGTATCCGGCCAAATTAAGATCCGTTGCATCACTAGGTTATACACCCTCTTCTGTGGTGGTTATAGTATGCCACTATGAACTCAAAAGGTTCTTGGTTTGAATTCTGTCAGCTGCCAACGAACATTTCAGGGAACGTACCGTTGTGACGTTCAGACATAGGCATAGCGCCGGGGTTTATAATATTTAATGTAATAATTTTTAAAAATTATTATATTAAATATTATAATTTTTAAAATATTTGTATAATTCAAAAATTATAATATTTATGAAATAATTTTGAAATTATTTAAATAATTTTGCGTTTGCGTTAAATGGAGAGGAAGACCACGAGAACCTCCCACGGTTAGCCTGACAGCAAGGGAACTCTAACCCATTACCCGTCTACCACTGAGGATATTTAACTTCAGCACTGTGGTCAGTGCAAGCCGGATGCGGAATTCGTATCGACCAGCCATCGTGGCTCTGCCATTAGTTTTGTCAAACATATAAGTACGCTTATCATTTCGGATTTAACATTTTAAGCGAGCGCGCACATCTTAAAGATTGTTGATGAGCCCCTTCTTATTTACAATTTTTTTACTATCAGGAGTTTATCTCGAGAAATAGAATTATGCCGAATGATTGTATCCGCATATCTTTTTAATTCTGTGCATGATTTTGTAATGTTGATCATTACTGATTAATTAGTTTTATTTCAAACAGAAAAAAAAAGAGTATTCAGCTAGTAACAATAACTTAAGAAATTGCTTAAGCTCAAAATAATATTTATTTTCAACACAACTTTGCTTAGAAAATCTTTTTTTTTCTTCCTACCAACCAGGACAGTGTGTTTGAAACAAACATAAACTAATGCAAACCAGAAACAAAAAAGTTGTATAATAAAGTTGTGTAAGGGCAATTTTCTCTTGTATTTTTTAATAATTGAGCTTTCGATGCCAAGCAAGAGATTTTCTAGAGTTCTTTATTGACTATTTGTTGCCGGTTCTTCTATCCTACGAATATTCAAATAGTGTCACTTAATCGATTCTTCCACTGAGTATCTTCGGAATAAATACATTTAGCAACATAAATGAATGTTATATATTTAAATAAAGCTAAAATAAGAACTTCCCCCGAAAAATCTAAATTTTTTTAAAAATGTCACTTAGCCGGTTCTTCACAAAGCTCTTAAAATGTATAGCGAAACAGTAGGAGCTTTAGCTTATTATCTGGAGCGGAGCTAGAGCATCGAAAATTTTTAGGTTTTGGGTTCCTGAGGAAAATTATCAAGATTTTTTATTAAATCTATCATTTTACTCATTCATTCATTCATCGATTAAAATTCATCATTAATTCTATTTTTTTTTACAATAACTTTAATATCCAAAATCCAAATGGTGTGGTTATATGTATTTATGAAAAGTAATTTTTATGGGATGATGAGAAACTTGTTGAAGGCATACTATGCAATAAAAACAACACTATTGCAATCAAGATTGCTTGTACAAAATAGTTTATTTCACATAAACTACAAAAATAAGACTTTCAAAAAATGAAATATACAAATATGTGTGTTTGGTAAAATTTGTTGCAATGCATCTCATAAAATTCTATATTACAATCAAAACATTTATAAGATTTCATCACAAACATTTTTAAATAAAATAATGAAAAATAAATGGAATGCTTTCTAGTATAAAATATAAATGATTATTAAAATTTTGCAATTAGAAATGAAAAAAAAAATTAAATGCATAAAAAGTGGTAAAATCTTAAAACACTTTACAATTTAAAGTATAGAAAATATGCAAATAAAGATATATATTTTTATAAAGTATTCAAACCAAAATTTAAACTTTCAATGAAAAGACTTTTTATTAAAATCGTAAAAAATATTTAACAGGCAACCTACCTGCTAAACTCGTAAATATACATGCTTGTAATTTAATTTTTAACCTCATTTATAAAAGCTCTTCATGTTAATATAATAGATTCTTTAAACATAGATCAGTTTATTGCATATGAACGAAATTCAGTTTAACACAAACAATAACATTCACCAAACATAATAACATATTTTAAAAAATCAAAAACAAATCAATTCAAACATACCTTTATAGATATAACTCAATTTTTTACATAATTAACCTTTACACATAGTTTCGTTTCTAATTTCATAAAAAATTGCTAATTTACATATTATATTAATTAATATTTTTAACTCTCTTAATAAAACATATAAATATAATTGTTTTACTCAGCAAAAAAGTGATAAAGAAAGCTACAAATTCATTAAAATATTGATCACTATACGTTTTACTGAGATAATTTATAAACAAAAAAATAAAGAAACGTTTTTTTAACACACAAATTATTGGGAAAATTGTAACACAGAAAAATGTCATTTTGACTTAATTTAAAAATTGCCGGTTACATAAATTAAGCTACATATAAATAAAAATATTCATAAAAAATCAACAAAAAAGTCAATGGTTATTATATAAAAAAATGCATAGATCAACAGTTTCAAGACTCTAAAAATATATTACTAGAGTTATCACAAACATGATTTAAATATGTAAATGAATTTCAATGCACAAATTTTTATTTAACATAAAAGCTTCTTAGATTGCTATATAAATGTGATTTGACATATAATTTCCTTTCTAAATTGTATACACAAACAAAACACTCACCAAGCAACAAATAAGACCCAAGTTACTTTAAATAAGATAATAAAAAAAACACAATATAGAAAAATGGACGGTTTAAGTTTAAAGTTTTTTTTAAATATATAATGCAACAGTTTTTACTTACCCAATTCAGACATAAAAATTAGTTAAAATATATAAAAAAAATTTAACACGCATGTTTGAAGATAAAATTGTCATAACTTTTCATATATATTTTAATTTTTATCTGCATGCTACATTATAAAAAATTCAATCTGACACAAATGAAAATCAAATATGATTTTTAAAAAAGACCCAGAGTGTTAAAAAAAATATGAATTTCAAACTTTAGTTTAAAAAAATAACTATCACTGATATTACTTAAACCAGGAATGCACAAACTATGACTCACAGGACAAAAAAGTCCTCCAAACCTTTTTACCTCAACCTTTGAACTGCTTAAAATTAAACATACACATATACATAAAAAAAACATAACAATAAAAATCTTCTTTTTTTTTTTTTACTCTGCTCTGTAAGAGTCAATTACTGATCTAAATAAGCCTGTTCTAAGTATCAAATTAAAATAATTTCATTTAGCAATTTTTGTTTACGGCAATTGGATCCATGATCCCAAAGAAACGTAATTTCTTATAAATTAGTAGAAATAATTTTTTTTTTAAAAATTAACAAATAAAAAGTCCACAATCTTATGAGTTAGTATTAAAGAATTGAAAAAATGAATAAATAAAAAGTTCAGAATTCAAAAGATAAATAAATATTAAAAGAAATATATATCATTTCGAAATTTCAATCACAATCACCACATTAATCTCGTATTGTTTCAGCAACAATAATTAAAATTGTATTTTGAATAATAGTCAAAGTAAACGTCTGCGTTAAATGAAAATTTGCTTCAACTTCTTTTCATTTGTCATAATAATTTGCTTTATAATGTTGTAATTATATTTAATTTTTATTATCTGCACTTGAGTAAAAGAATTTAGTTATGCATGTGTAAGTCATTTATACTACTTTTAAATCGAACATAAACATACCCTGAATTTGAATGATTGCAGCTTTATACTAGTGTTAACCTCCATCATAAGTTTTTTTCTTTCTCTCTGCCTGCAACCCAAACTTTGTTGTGCATTTCTGATTCATATGTTTAAAAAATACAGTTATATGTTTAAATTAAGAGATACAAGTTCTTCAAAGAAAAAAAAAGTGTCATGTTATCAACACAACATTATTTGGACGGAATGTATTTCCCTCTAGCTATAAAACTTTCTAAACTTTAGTATGTGTTTGCTCCATGTGGTATGCAACATGGTGGTTCAGTGCATCTTCTCGCTTCTTCACTTTGCTGGCTTCAATGAAAAACAAAATTGAGCTAACTAAAATGAAAAACGATCCAACTACACCCAGTGCAAACGACCATGATAAATAATTGTGATCTGGATCTGGCATCCAATCCCTTCCATCACCATGCACACCAAACACGATGACCGCAATAATGCAACAGATTGCTGAAAAGATACAAAATTTAAAACAAGAATTCTACCATGAAATAATTTTGTGTCAAAGAACATAAACTTATTTTGCCATGTGATACTTCTTAAAGGTGATTTTTCCTTTCTTTTTCCCCCCTTCAGTATATTAGTTTGAATCTTAAGCATTTTTTTTTTGTGGCAAATATCTGGAAATAATAATGTTTTTAAGTTATTTCATTAATATGCAAATTGCATATTTTCAGTATTTTGATACTTATTTCACTTGAAATTTTTTATCTTTTCTTTATAAATATTAAATTGGTTGGCTTCTTCTACTAAATTAAAAAGCTCTTTGAACAACTGGTTATAAAAAAAAATTATAAAAAAACAAGAAGAATTTCTATCTACTTTTTGGTTAAGCATTTTCAACAGGGGTAGAAAGTTTTTTCCAACTCAAATTTAAAAAATTATTTAAAAAATATCAAACATTAAATTTTTATTAAAAAAACTTTATAATTGCAATCTAGTTAAAATAAATAGTAATAATTTTCCAGCTATTTAATGCATCATTTTTAAATAATTAAAAACTAAGAAGCAACAATCGGAGAGAGAGAAAATTAATGATTTCAAGAAATTAAAATAACTATCTTTTCATTGTTTTATGTAAATGATTAAGTAAAACCTAAATTTATAATTATATGAAGAACTGTTAAAACTACACAATTAAATTTTCACACATACTGTTTACAATATATTCAATTCACTACTAGAAATGACCTATTAATTCTTATTATCAAACATTCTTAAGTATGAATACTCAAACTGACTTTTAAATAATATCATAGTGTATAGATTTTTAAAATTGTGTAAGACACTTTTAAGAAAAATTATATTAAGACAGTTTTTTTATGTGAAAAACTTTAAACTTTTTGATACTATATATAAAAATTGTTATTTTTCTAAAAATTTAAGTTATTATATTGATAAACATTTTTTTTGTTTAGCTTCTTCCAGTTTTCTTTAATGTCTTGAAAGAAATAGGTTCCTTCCTTACAAAATAATTATTATTTTAAAATTTTCTGATATATTATTTTTTTTTTAAATTTAAGCTATTATAATACTTATTGATAAACATTTTTTTGCTTCGTTTCTTCCAGTTCATGTCTTAGAAGAAATAGATTTCTCCAGTACAAAATTTTTATATTTCTAATGGCATATTATGAACAGTTACAGCAGAAAACAATAAAAAGAAAGAACACAAGAGTACAACAAAAAATGCTGAAACAGAGTTCAATAATCTAACATATCTCTAGCCTCACAATAACTAAACTAAAACTCAGTGGCGCGGCAGCCCATATAGGGCCAAGGCCTACTGTGTTCATCTCAGTTTTCTTGACCTTGGGCTCTGGGGTGCAGGAGTAGCTGTCCCGGTCAGGTGGTCAGGCGGAACCCCCAGTGTTTGTTTCCCAAGCATGATTGGTACTCATTTATCGACCCACTGAAGGGATGAGAGGCTGAGTCAACCTTGCCCGGCCCGAGGATCGAACACAGGACCTGTGGCATGAGAGTGCAAACCGCTACCACTCAGCCACCAGGCGTCGCCTCCCAATAATACTCGGCGAGAAAAGTCTTGCCCAGAGCAGGACAGTGGAGTATGTGTGCAGATTGCATGACCTCTCCAGAGCTGCACAGAGTGCATATCGAGGAAAGAACAATTTTGAGCCTATAAAGATGGTCTCTTAGGCAGTCATAACCAGTAGCTAGGCGGAGCTCAGCAATTGCTCTACGCCTTGGGCCATAACACAAAGTTGGGAGGGCATTCTTCCAGAACGTTTGAGAAACACAGTTATTTCCTGAGCATGGGCTTTAATGGATATTTTAATAAGATTTTTAATAGTGTGGAAGGAGAAAAGACAAGAAATTCTTTACATAATAAAAGCACCCTTTTTAACCAGGAAGTCGGAAATCATCCCTTACAAAATAATTATCGGAATTGTACTTTGTACACCCATGAGCGCTATCTGTAGCCGGCGACCGGAGTAAAGGAGAATCTTATGTTAATCTTACAAGTTGACTAATTTGGCTTCACGGTCCCTAATAAGTACCATCGTAAGCTTTTGACTCTATGCATACACATGAATTTAAGAACAATAATACCAAAAAGAATGACTGTAAAATGTCAACTAAATGAAAGAAACATACCAGCTATCATTGTAAGCACTGCAACGAGCCTGACAGCCAAAACTTCTTTCTCTTGACTTAGACATAAATGAACAGCTAAAATTAAGACACAACTCACAAGAAGTGCTGTGAAACCAACAGTGAAAAACACTTGAACTGCAATGAAGAAAGCTGTGGGAATAAAAGGTTAGAATTATAACATATTTCTCCGTAATAAAAGGGAAAAAACAGTTGATATATAAGCAAAAACACTATGGAAGCAAGAAACATTGCAAGAAGAGCAAATGATTTTTTTTAATAATTCAGTTTTTATCAATTATAAATAATAAGGGCTCAAAATGAATGAAGTGGTTCAAAAAATCACTTCACTCATCAATGGATGAAACTGTGCCGTTTTGATGTTAGGTTTTATGTTTTGGTTTTCTCAAATAACATTTTTCATCATAACAAGTAGGGTCCACACCAGCAATAAAAATTTAGTGGTCCAATAGGACCATCTAGGTATTCCTTTAGTGGTCCAAAAACTTAATGTGGTAGACAAACTCGAAGGAAAAAATTAAACTTTATAATTACATAATTTATGATATCATGCTGAAATACGCATAACATATTTCCTAACATTTAAAAACAAAATCACAACCTTAAATTGAGTGCAGAATAGCCATACACATTCAAATGTGTTGGCATAAAAGAAAGCGTGAGAAATAATAACGAATTTTAATGAAATCAAATAATCAGCAACCCTGTAACGGTTTTTGAATTCTATGCTAATGTATTTGTCAGAAGTAGAGGGAATCTCTAAAAATAGATTTTATTCTGCACCCAATTCATGATTGTGGTATAAAAAGATTACAGAATTATATAAATGATTTTTATTTATTGAAGAAGGAATAAATAAGATAATTTTGCTTTTAAATGTTAATAAAAAAATGTTACGCATATTTCAGCATGACATATATTAATTGCCATCTATAACACCCCAAAACTAATTAGGGGTTCATTAGTCCATCATGATTGAAAATTAATATTTATTAAAAAGTGCATTAGTAAATAGAACATGGAGATTAAAATGCTAAGACGAAATAAATAAATGAGGAAAAACAGAGAAAGTGCTAACAAAATATTATTTAAAAAGTTGATTATCTAAAAATTATTATTATTTCAAGGAGACACATTTGTAGAACATAATTGTAGCCATACTGGCATCAACTCTAAGAATTAGGATATTCTCTGCACTGTAATTTTTCAGTACATTTCTGTTAGTTGGACACAAATGGAAAGTCAGCAAAAATTGTAGATCCCTGCCAACTTTTTTATATTTTTTAAAACACATGAAGATTAAATAAAATAAAAAATAATTGAACTTCTTTGCCCTTGGCTAACCCAAAAGAACCAAATTTTCATTTAAATTTTCTTTATTAACTTTTTTTAAAGAAAAAAAAACTATTTCAGTAAAAATTTCTATGTGTAATAATTTTTAGCATTAACTTAATATCTTTTAGGTATAAACGTGCAATATATTTTAGTTACTGGTTATTTATTAATTTTTTTTTATGAACTTCTTTCCATCTTGTCTAATGCTTCAATTAACATTTTAGCAAAAAACACATTGTAATGAAGAAGGCCAAAGAAGAAATATAGTTGTAACTTTTGAATTAGTGGGATTTTTTTAATATTATTTTTTATGACTTTTATTGAAATCAATAGGCACAATAAAATATTCCTAGCAACATATTTTTAAAAATTTATAGATATATTGCAAAAGAGTTTTTCTTTTCTTTTTACAAATTAGCTTTTGTCATAATATATTAATTAATGTCAAATAAACAACTGTTAATCTATTGTACTCAGAAATTTATTACTGAAAAATAATAATTTTCATAATTTTTTTAAAAAAAATTTCAAATCAGTTTAAATTTAAATCTTTTTAATTATGCTGAGTACGAATAATTTTGATTTTGAAATGTGATGAAGTTTTGATTGAAAAATATAAAAAACTTGTTATTAATAACACATTGCCTTTTTTCGCTACTATAACTATTCTAATCACCTCTATAATATGTTTGTAAAAAATATATATATAGTATATATGTACCCCAAACAGGGCCATCTTAATAGCATGCAGGGCCCCCAGGCAAAGAAATGTTTTTGGCCCTTATAACATGTCATACTGCTTAAAATCAAACTAAAAAACTTCATACATAAAATAAAGCATTTTTAACATATGCAATAATTTGAACAAATTTAAATACATTTTGATTTAAATTTGTTTTTAGTAGACCCAAAAAAACTGAATTCACATAAAAATTTCATTGGAAGGTAGAAAAATTGATTTCGGTTTAAGTTTCTCTGGTGATAAACTATTCATATTATTGGTGTTTGCAAGATAATCAATCACAATTTGTAGAAAGAAAAACAAAATACACATTTTATACAATATAATATATTTATTTTTAAAAAATATATAAGGTAATTTTGTTTATTCTTAGTTTTTTTTAAAAACAATTAATATAAAGTAAGATTCTCAAGGGCACCCTGAGTGCCTGGGGCCCTCTGGCACTACCCGGCTGTGCCCATGCCTAAAGACGGTACTGACCACAAATAAAGGAACAGTACAAAATCTTGCGGGATAAAGATTTCAGTTTGTTGTGCAACAAATTTCGTACACATTATTGTGTTACATACTTTCTTTTGCTCTGTTTAATTACACAAATGATTAACAGGGGTCTGTCCAGGCCAAATTTACTACTGTTTTGCAGTAACTTCACAAATTCAACTTTAGGAAAAATGGTAGTTTCACAAAATACTTTTTCTTAAAATTTTATTTTTGTTTCCCATAAGAAATGATAAATCCATATTTTTGTGTTGATTTTTTAGTATAATTTTTAATTTTCACAAATTATGTCTAAATTTTCACAAAATATGTACCTCTCAGAAAAACCTAGACAGACCCCAGATAAATTTAGAACAAAAAGTGCTTAATAGATGTATATAAACTATAAAAAATCTTACAGGGTGAAGAACTTGGTTACTTATTTTTTATGTTTATTAAATACAAAAATTTTTATTTCAAGGGTACCTAATATAAATATGTTAATTTTTATAACTCATTTTGATTACCTATATAAGTTTACAACAAAAAAAGTGTAATGCATGTAAATTAAGAATAGAATAATGCACGGGGTCAAACTCAGCTTTGTTGCAAATTTGTTATGTTCGGTAAATGTAACAAATTTAGTATTAAGAGGAATATACATGTTCATTTTTAACTTATGCAACTTGTTTTAACTACTGACATAAGATAAGTTTACAACAAGAAAAAATATGTAGTAGATGTAAACATACAATAAAAAGTTTTGCGATGTGGAAAACTTGGCTCATTGTGTTTAGTATTAAGAGGAGTACTATGCATGTTTATTTTTAATTTTTTTTCACTCATTTTAACTAGACACATAAGATAAGTTAAGTTTACAAGTAAAAATATGTAATGTATATAAATGGACAATAAAACATCTCGAAAGGTGGGAAACACAGCTTTGTTGTGTTTGGTATAAAAAAAAATATAGGACATGATGATTTTAAAAAAATTTCACGCATTTTAACTCGACACATAAGATAAGTTTACAACTAAAAATATGTAATGTATGTAAATTGACAATAAAATATCTCGCAGGGTGTGAAACTCGGCTCGTTGGGGAACAACAGAGTCAAAAGTAATGTTTGATTTTATGAAACAATTTTCAATTATTATACTTACGCTGCTCTATAAATCCTCTTAATTTTTGATATTCATCAGTTAATATCCAACGACATCCCGCATAATATTTTCTTAATGCTAAATCGCCGGGATCGTGAAAACTTCTAAAACATGTTTCCCACAAACCTAGTCTAACAAATACAGCTCCATAATGTCTTCGATCAGAATTTAACCAGTAAGGTGTGACAAATGCAATAAACACTAAAACAAAGCAAAATGCTGCAAAGCCGTTAGCCGCTATTCTCACAGAGTTATACTTAGATCTTGCCATTTTTCAACAATTCTTGAATTATTGCAAATATAAGACAATATTTAATTGTTTTGTTAAATTATCAACCGGCGTACGCATTTTTCGAAGTTATTAAATTACTCAGATCTTCGTGAAAAGGGTGTGCCCATCACAAACTTTTAAACCACACATCACAACGTAAACAACATACATTTCTATGACTACAAGGTAATATGCGCGCGCATCCTCAAACTTACCTGTTGGAGGGAAAAATTATTCCCTTCACATTCTTTCTTGGGTACTTCCGGCGACAAAAGAAATAATTTCGGCTGCGACTTTGATATCGATCAATTGAGAACTGACATTTTCATTAAAAAAAAAAAAAATAAAAAAAAGTAAATACGTTGACCCTATTTTTTACAAAAAAGTCAAAATTTAATTTTTTGGAAATTTTTTTTTAGAAGAATTGAGTAATTTTTTGATTAATTTTTTTAACTAGCTACAAGAAGAAAGCTACCCTAATAAACTCAAATAATACTCAGGGACTACCCTCTTGATTAATTACTCCCGATGACAGGGGCGGATCCAGAAATTTTTTCTGCTGGGGGTCATAGACTCAGATCCCCCCCCCATTAATTAATTGTTTTATAAAAAAAAAATTTTAATCTTTTATTTTTCAAAAAAAAAGAAAGAAAAAAACTGGGAAACTAAACTAAACTAAAAAAAATATTTTTTAATAAACAGCTTAAAAGAGTTTTTCGATAATTTATACTGAAAATCATTAGAAAAGGAACATTTAAAGGTGCATTTTTTTAAAAAATGTATTTANAAAAAAAAGAAAAAAAACCTGGGAAACTAAACTAAAAAAAATATTTTTTAATAAACAGCTTAAAAGAGTTTTTCGATAATTTATACTGAAAATCATTAGAAAAGGAACATTTAAAGGTGCATTTTTTTAAAAAATGTATTTATTTAAAAAATAATTTCAAACCACTTAAAAAAAGTTATTAATATACCCCCTTAAGAAAAAAGAGAAACTTAACCAGATAGATAAAAATTTAACCAGTTGAGAATAATCCTACTAAAGTAAATATTTTTAATAATAATCAGAATTAAATCTATAAACACAGACAATTTTTGTGCATAATTATTATTTTAACAGTTAATTAATTTTTCTTAAAATTG